TAGGTGAGGGTAGGAACGTAGACTGACTGGTAAACAGAGAGCTTTGCCTTACAGTTCAGCTCTCTCTTCAACACAATGAACCGGTACAGAGTTCGCAATACTGCAAACGCTGCACCAATTTGTCAATCTCACTCTCCATTCTTCCCTCACTCGTGAACAAAACCCCGAGATACTTGAACTCCTCCACTTGAGGCAGAACCTCACCCTTGATCTGGAGAGAGCAATCCACCCTATTCCGGTTGAGGACCCTGGCCTCAGATTGGTGCTATCATCTATGCTATAATCATGCAAATTTCACATCTGTTCTTCCTAAATACTACAAACAAGTGGACTTTGTTACGAGAGGAGCAAACACGCTAGATAATGTGTACACAAATGTTTTTATGGTGCATCTCGGGCGGAGCCCCACTCCCACCATGGATACTTGGACCACATCTGTACAATGCTGATTCCAGCTTACAGGGTGCTCGTCAGGCGCACCAAACCTGAACTGAAATGCTGAGGTACAATCTCCCAGATGACATGTGACGGATGAGACTTGTTCTCCACAATGCAGAGGATTTTCCAGATGCAGCGGTTGTTGAAAATGTCCATGAGAGGTAGAAGAGAGTCCCCGATGATCTTTTCAGCTATCTTAACTATTTGCTTTGAGTGAAAACCTTTTGGTGAAAACCTGGCCAGAAGGATCCAGTTCTGCTCTTCAGGACTGTTTTGAGTGCACTGACTGGGACATGTTTAGGGAGGCTACAACATATGGCAATTTCACTGATCTAGAGGAGTACACAACTTCAGTAACTTTCTACATCAGCAAATGCATTGATGATGTCACCACCACTAGAACCATCACTACCATTCATTCATTCACCCTTTATTTATACAAGTTAGTCTCATTGAATCACGAGGACTCATTTACAAGAGAGACCTGTTTTAGACAGACAACATATAAAGTACATAAAACAATAATCTACAGTAAAAATGCAATTAAAATAAAAGTAGCGTTTTCAAACAATAAATCAAGGTGCTATACCACATCCAACCCAAAGCCATGGATGACTCCAGAGGTGCGTGCACTGCTGAGGACATGAGACTTTGCTTTCAAAGCCTCTCAGAACAGCGAGGGCCAAGCTGTTCCAGGGAATCTGAGAAGCAAAGTGTGCACTCGGCTAGAACATTATTATTTTTTAATTACTTTATTTTACCAGGAAGAAATCCATGGAGATCATCAATCTCTTTTACAAGGATGTCCTGGACAATATGCAAATACTGCAACACAGTCTTAAAAACAGTAACAATAGTATTAAAATATTTACATCCACAGCCACTTCTAGAGCAGCGGTGACACATGGCACATGTGGCAGGGCATCCAGGCCATCACCAACTACAGGACTAGACAACCTGCCTGTGACAGTGATGCCTTCCTTCCAGATGCGCTGAACGTCTTTACGTTTGGTTCGAGGCACAGAACAACATGGTGGTGAGGAAGACCATCCGCCCTCGTAACAACCAGTGCTTCGTCTGATTACAGCAGACGTGAGGAAAACTCTGTAGAGTCCACCAATGGAAATCTGCCGGACCAGACAACATTCCTGGCAGAGTGCTCAGAGAATGTGCAAATCAGCTAGCAGGTGTTCTCACAGACATTTTTAACATCTCCTTGAGCGGCACCGTCATTCCAACATGCTTCAAGACGACCACCATCATTCCTCTACCAAAGAAGTCGTCAGTGTCATGCTTCAACGATTATTGTCCTGTAGCACTCACTCCTATCAACATGAAGTGCTTCGAGAGACTCGTCATGCATCATATCAAGACTTTGCTTCCTTCCACCATGGACCCACTGCAGTGTGCATACCATCCTAACTGTTCAGCATACGACGCCATAGCCACCACACTTCACCTGGCTTCCACACACTTGGACAGAAAAAACACGTTAGGATGCTGTTCACAGACTAACTCGGCATTCAACACCATCATTTCTCAGCATCTGATTGGAAAGCTGAGCATGTTGTCTCTGCAACTGGATCCTGAACTTCCTGACTGGGAGAACTCTGTCCATCTGGATCAGACAGAACACCTCCAGCGCCATCACACTGAGCACCGGAGCTCCCCATGGCTGTGTGCTCAGTCCTCTGCTTATTTATGACAGTACAGCACAGCTCCATTTCCATCGTGAAGTTTACAGATGACACGATTGTGTTGGGACTTATAAGCAATGACGATGAGTCAGCGCACAGAGAGGAGGTGTAATGGCTACGGACTGGTGCAAAGTCAATAACCTGTCTCTGAATGTTGGCAAAACCAAAGAAATGGTCATTGACTTCAGGAAAACACTAAGGGACATCGTCAAGAGCACTAAATTTCTTTGTGTTCACCTGGAGAAGAATCTCACCTGGACCCTTAACATCAGCGCCATTGCTAAGAAAGCTCAGCAGCATCTCTACTTTTTGCGGAGACTGAAAAAAGCTCATCTTCTATCTCCTATCCTCAACACTTTCTACAGAGGAACCATTGAGAGCATCCTGAGCAGCTGCATCACTGTTTGATTTGGGAATTGCACTTGATCAAACCGCAAAACTTTCCCGCAAATAGCTGTAAAGATCATCAAGGGCTCTCTTCTACCTCATGGACATTTTCAACAACCGCTACATCCAGAAAACCCTCAGTACTGTGGAGGACCCGTCTCACCTGTCACATGGACCTTTTACTCCTGCCATCTGGAGATGGTATCACAGCATTCAGACAAACACAACCAGACTGTAACAGCTTCATTCCACAAGCCATCAGACTCTTCAACTCTGGATTTTGACTCGCACACATGATGGACTCAGACCACTATGGACTGTCTGATACACAAACACCCACAAAAAATAGACTCTTGTATTTATTGTACTTTTGTGTATTTGCACTGAGTTGTATTGTTTTGCACTGTGATCCTGGAGAAACGCTGTTTCGTTTCAATATGTGCTTGTACGTACGTAGCTGAAATGACAATACAACCTCTCTGTCTGTTTAGATTCTGCTACTGCAGAGACCCGGAACAGTCCAGTTTTAGAGCCTGTCGATGGTGTGACGGCAGCTGGAACTCCTAACACCAAACCAGGCACGACAGCGACTGAAACGGCACCCAGCCATACCCCTGCTGCTCTCACCACCCTGACTTTTGGGGAGAGAATACAGTGGTATTGTCAGCCGTACAAATTCGGTAAGAAACCTGTTTGTACACGTTTTGTTTTTTGTTATCATATTTGACGGTCTTTCATTTTCTACAGATTGTATCTCGGCAAAAAGCATTGTTTCGTCTCAAGTAAGTTTAAACTTCTTTTTTGCTACAATATAAACTAAAGCACACCAAACATAATAACGTAATAGGTTTAAAGCTAATTTTGGTTCGTTTCATATAGATCTAGATGATCTTGTAGGATTCCAATATTTAAACATTTATAGGCTCTAAGCCGTTCAGACTGGACCAAAAATATCAATAAGAAACAAAATCAGCACAATGTTTTTCTCCTGTTCATGGTTAACATGTCCTTGCTTTAAAACTTAGTGAACAGCTGTCAACTATCACCACTTTAGCTGCGGAAACAGCCAAAATGACCAAAAATAGGTCGACAATCATGATGTCCACGAAAGAGCTGTTTGTCACTTCTGACAGTTTTGATGTGTTTATGTATTTAAACTCAGATCTGTTGGGTACGCAGATAAGAGTTTTGTTTACACTGAGTGTGTACCTGCATTTCAGAATTACATTTTAATATTAGAGCCCCACCGATATAGAAATTTTGGCTATCGTCGATACCGATATTGGGCGTAGAAGGCTAATGCCTATAACCAATATATATTTAATATATATAACCAATATTTTCCTCCCAGGCTCTGATCGAGGTGGCAGCTTCTGTCTCTCCTCCCCCGTTTTTTTCCTTCTTCCTGCTCTGCTCTCTGTGTGTCTGAAGCGCCTGGGTCTCATCTCCCGCACATAAATTAAGAAGATTATGGATTTGGTATCGTGGGCGTTCAACTCTATTGATAAGATTTTTTCATCAAAGCGACAAGGTCCTGGGGAACCGGCATGTCCAGCTGAGACGCACGCTGTGGGGTACGTCATGGATTCGTGGGGAGTGTGGAAGATGATGTGCCTCTCTGTTCTGTCTCAAGAAGATGTTGAAGACGTTTACATATTTGGACTTATGAAAGCAGGGACTCTGCTTTTTGGCATCGGCGGGGCTCTGTTTTATCGACTTTTGAAGAAGACATCGGGAGCAGTTTTGGCCATGGAAAAACTTCCGAGTCAGTGTGAAGGACTGGTACTCTCTGTGGGAACTTTAAATCGTCTGGTCTACGAGCTTAACCGCAAGGTGGAGGCGATTGAGAATCGCAGACCACCTGCGGCTTCTGGGACTCGTCAGCGTGGTGGGTTCGACCTCGAAGGAGACTCATAGCATGGATCAGTGAAACTTAATTCCATAATTAGGCTTTTTCGGAACCAGAACGCCCAGATGGATTCAAGGCTGAAGAAAAAAATCTGTCTGCC